GACGTAGGTTGCTAAGCCTTTTAAAATTGCACAAGACGGAGGATATGAAACAAAATAATTGTTTTTTTAGGTTTTTATTATATATATATATATATATACACACACACAGTTGAATAACCAAAAAATCATAAATTACTGTATCAATACCATAAAATTCCACTATAGTTTATCAAGCTTAGTAACTAAGATGTATTTTAGTCTAAAAAAATATTAAATTTTGAGCAGACCAAAGACACAACCTACTTCGTTTAAATCTTGGTTTGAAAGAACAAGATGTCATCCTAACACATGAAAATGGCTGAGAAAGCCACTATGGAACATTCTGACTTTTTTGATTGGTTATTCATATGTCATATATTGAAGTAAGTGTACATAAGGGACCATTTCAAAAAATGGAAAAAGGTGAGCGGGCCACAGTGTTTGATTCAGTACATGAGTGATATATCAGCAAATAGAAAAGATAAGACCTTCTTATTTTATACTCTAGCTTGTCAATATTGGTAATATGAGTTCCTAATTCGTACAAAACTATAGACTTTGTATTTTGACATCACAAACATCTAATCTGAACCAGTGCTGCATTCAAAATATCACGTGACACACAAACATCGATGTTTAACTGTTTTTTAATTTACTTTTAAATTAACAAATTATGTATAATAATGTATAGTACTAAAATTTGAATTATAATCTACAGTTTGATACCAAACTTATTGACAGAAATTCATGAAACAGTAGTTCAATAAAATTTTGAATGCAAGTCAACAAATGAGATGACATGGCCTTTCACCCGTGATCCATCTCGAAAGAGTTAAAAGGTAACAGCAACGTATTATATTTCAAAAAATTTAAACGTGAAATTAATCAGAGGTAAGTAATTGCTAATAAAGATATTTTATGAGGAATATCAATACAATTTTTAAGTTCAATACCGTCACTATACAGCTGAACACTTACTTCCTCATCTTTATACCAAGAAAGGGATTCCGATGTTAAAACAAACCAGTAGTCACGAGAACCGCCCTTCATAATACCCAAGTTATGAATACACATCCAGCCTCTTCGAATCACCTGCAAGTTCAAATAAACAAAAGTTGCTTCTGGAAAATGGAACTGTTACTTGTATACATTAAGAGAACACTCAGTAAGACACGAGTTATTAAACATTCTTGTACATGAGAAAGTTATCTTAACATAAAACAAATAACACAGCAGAAACATTTGTAGAAACAGCAGAAAAATTCCAGTTAGTAAGTTTTTTTACATCATTCAATAAAAATTTAACCTTCTCCAATATCACAAAATTATTGATTGACTTTAATTTTTTCTTCAAGTACAATGAACTAAGAAGAGAACAAAGTGTGACCGTATATCTTATTTCATACATAACAAAACACAAGTCAACAAGTTGGCTTTCACCTTTCTCAGGATTGTTACTCTGGTAAAAGCCAAATTAATTAACTTGGAATTCAAAATGGATATATGAAGAGGATGAGAGAGAAAAAAAAGTATCTGTAGTTTACATGGTTTTTTTATCATAAAAGTATCTGTAGTTTACATGTGTTTTTTGTTTATCATAAAAGTATCTGTAGTTTACATGTGTTTTTTGTTTATCATAAAAGTATCTGTAGTTTACGTTTTTTTTTATCATAAAGTATCTGTAGTTTACATGTGTTTTTTATCATAAAGTATCTGTAGTTTACATGTTTTTTTTTTATCATAAAAGTATCTGTAGTTTACATATTTTTGTTTATCATAAAAGTATCTGTAGTTTACATGTGTTTTTTGTTTATCATAAAAGTATCTGTAGTTTACATGTGTTTTTTGTTTATCATAAAAGCATCTGTAGTTTACATGGTTTTTTGTTTATCATAAAAGTATCTGTAGTTTACATGGTTTTTTGTTTATCATAAAAGTATCTGTAGTTTACATGTGTTTTTTGTTTATCATAAAAGCATCTGTAGTTTACATGGTT